GATCTATTTGCAATATCAATAAAAAGCTTGCCCTGCAACCACTTAGTTATAAATTCTTCTCCCCAATTCCCATCCCACTATTCATGGAGTGACATCTTTCACCAGTACACAACTACAATGACTTGCACTTGCAGGATACAGCATCTTTCATGTAGAAAAACAGAGACAGAACAGGGACCCAAGCAAGGTGACAGATATAAGGGTAGGAGGGATGTGTCCAAAGGCACAGTCAAAGAAGTAGGTTTTCAGAAGGGTTTTGAAAGCAGAGAGGGAGGCTGTCAGGGAGAGAATTCCAGAGAATGGGAACAAAGGGTCTTAAAGCTCACCCATCAATGGTAGGGTGGAGGGGGTGGGCAGGGGTTATGACGCAAGCCTCAGTTAGCAATGCAGAGGAAAGTAGGACTGCAGGAGATCAGATAATAGAGGACAAGGGCATGAAGGCATTTAAGGATCTTGAAGTTAACCCTCTGGAGATTATTGAGCCAGTGGAGTCTGGCAAGGATGCGGGAAATGGGGTCACCAATTCTGCTCCGGGAAAGAACATACTAAATTGTCTAAATTGAACAAATGTTCTGGTTGTGGCTAGAACACTGGACTCACTTAAAAAGCAGCTTGATATTTTGATGGGAAGAGGGTTCGGTTGGTGTTCTGGAAGCATAAGATCGAATAATCATAAGAGCCTTCTTCATCCAAACCAAACATGTGTTCTGGCGAAAGCTCGTGGATTGGTGAGCTAGGAAAGCCTGCAGGAGAGCATTGGAAAAATCAGGTGTGGAGAGGAATAGGAGGTGGAGTAGGGAGTGGGGTGAGGGAAAGGGGAAGGTGAACAAAGCTGAGACAGCCAAGTGGATTTGATTTTGAACACCAGTGAGGATTGACATGGCAAGGCAAGGTAAATGGAAGAATACAAATATATAGTGCTATTTCTAATTTAATAATAATCCTTGCATTTCATGTAGTGCCTTATCATGTCGTTGAGACATCTCAAAGCACTTTACAGAAATATATTGCGCACAGCAGCATCCCATAAACAGTCATAGATTGAGTGACCAAATTATTCATTTTTGTAGATTTTTTTGGAGTGATTATTGCCACTGGAAAACAATCTGCCAATCGACTAACAATCAGTTTCCTACTTACTGTTAGGTAAACAGAGGCGTGTGGAGTAAGGAAATTTGCCTAAGATTTTGCCTTGCCTGGGAATCGAACCTGGGTCCTCTCGTTTGCGAGGTGAGTGCTCTAACTAATACGCTACTAAATAAGGGATTGCATTTGTACACATTTCTCTGGATAACCAATTCCTGAGAGTGAATCTATTTTTTATTAAAATGCTAGCGGAAGACCCAGCTTATGCCAGGGACAGCCAACATCAATATGAAACGCAAATGTTAAAAATGACCACTCAGGGACAATTTAAGTTGTCTGTTTGTTTTCCGGCTGGAATTATAAATTTGCAGCAAGAGAGAGGCCTCTGTGTGGCGAGGCTGGGCTCACACAGTTTCTGTCTACTCGGATTGTGCTACAGTGGTAAAGCTACAGTAATGGCAGAGGTAAAAANTCAAATCAAACCAAGCTAACTCGAACCTTGCAGTCACTGATCTTTCAATAACAAGGTCACTCTTTGTGGAAGCACCTGAAGGAGATCAGATTAGATTACAGGAAAAATAAATGATTATTATTGGGGGATGTTTCGCCCACAAAATATACAGTCAATTCACTTTACAGTATGTTCTGTGAAGCATTGTGAGACATCTTGAAGACATAATAAGTTGCAATATCAAAAGCAAGGAGTATTATTATATTAATTTCTGTTTCCATATGTCTGCTGCTTGCCAGCTAGTTTGATTGGCAGCTGTGTTGCCGAACTTTAAGAAATAATTTGAATGAATTCTTGAGGTTTGTATCAGATCCTGCCATCCTTTACACCTTCTTTCCTATAGATGACACTTGTGAGTCACAATTAGCTGCCAGTTCTTAACAGTTATATGTGTTTCGAAGATTTGCATGAATCTTTAATCCACAGGAGTATGAAGTATACACATTGCTGAGATTGTTGTTGGCATGTATCATGGCAGTAATTCCAGACTATAGTAACAGATACAATTGTCGTTCCTCCTTCTAATGTGTTATTCGAGGTGGCAAGCAACAGTGGGACAGTGAGAATAGTACAGAATGGATGGGTTCAGAACACTAACCTTGAGCGTCATCAATATTGCCAGCCCCCTTTTATTCCTTCCCTATCCTTCCTGAATACATTGTAGCCAGAAATATTCAGCTCCCATTCCTGCCCTTGTTTGAGCCAGGTCTCTGTTATTACCATTACATCATAACCCCATGTGGCAACTTGAGCCTGCAGCTCACCAATCTTATTTGTCACGATCCGTGCTTTTAAACACATGCTCTCCAAGACCGACTAAATCTGTTCTGCATTTCTCCCCCGTCAGACCCCTCCTTTTTCTGGATTACTCCTTATTACATTGCTACTTGTCTCTCCCAGCCCTCTATGTAACTTATTTGTCATCTCTAATGCTATATCTTGATTCCCTTCCCCCCTCGAAATTAGTTTAAACCCTTCCTCACAGCACAAGTTCACCTCCCTGTGAGGGCATTGATCCCAGCCTTATTCAGGTGTAACCCATCCACCTTGTACAGGTCCCAACTGCCCCAGAACTGGTCCCAATGATCCAGGAACCTCACGCCCTCCTTTCTGCATCATTTCTCCAGCCATGGATTCATGTGTTTGAACCTGCTCTTTTTGATACTCACTTGCACAAGGCACTGGGCGTAATCCAGAGATCACCACCTTTGAGGTCCTACTCTTTAGTTTCTGATACTCTTCCTGTAGGATCTCAGCCATTTTTTCCCTACATCGTGGATTCCAACATGGACCACGACTTCTGGATATTTCCCTTCCCCCTGTAGCACGTTTTGCACCCATTTTGTGGTGTCTTCAACCCTGGCACCAGGGAGCCAACATACCATGAATCACGTCCTTGGTTGCAGAAAAACCTGTCTACTCCCTTCACCATTGTGTCCCCAGTGACAATTGCATTGACGCTCTTCCCTGTGTCCTGCTGTGCATCCATTTGTTTTTGACTCCCTCCCCAGAGGTGTCATCACCCTGACCTTCAGTACAGAGAACCAGTTTGTGAGTGCCACACTCTCAGGTAATTTCTGCACTGCCCGTCCCCTCTTCCTACCATGCCGGGTGGTCACCCACTGACTCTCCTTCTGAACCCTCTGTGGCTGTGGGGTGACCATCTCCTGAAACGTTCGATCCATGAACTCTTCAGCCTCCCTTATGCTATATAGTGACACCAGTCTCTCCTCGAGCAGCCGGAGGCACTTCCTACACACGTGTGTGTCCAGGGCACACAAAGCATCCTGGAGTTCCCACATAGCACACATTGTCTCAGCTACCCTGTCATATTCCCAGGCTTATTTTATATTATTTTAATATATTTATATATTTTATAATTATGCACCTTTTTCCCACTCTCACCAAATTCCTTAATAGAATTCTCACTCTGTTCCACTTCATTCAGTTCCCTCCTCATGCTGCTCAAGAGAGCAGATTTTGGCAAGTAAACTGATCGGAGAAACTCTACACTATCACATGTGGTGTTTCACTGACTGAGGGAATAAGAAAGACCTGTTTTGTGAATTAATACTCCCAAAATGTGTATGGATGAGCTATGGATCCGTTATTCTGTTCTGTAAAAATAAACTATACATTGTCAGCCTATAAAGCCACAGAAATTCTCTGAGATGCCAATAAGCTAAGAAATCTTCAAGAATTAGTTCCAAATAATAATAATAATCCTCGCATTTGATATAGTGCCTTATCACATTGTTGAGACGTTTCAAAGCGGTTCACAGAATATACTGCAGTGTAATAAAGTGTAGTGACTGTGTATTTTGTGGGCAAAATGTGACAGCCAATTGCGCACAGTGTCATTAAGTGACCAAACAGAGGCAGGTGGAGTAAGGAAGCTTGTCCAAGGTTTCACCCTGCCTGGGAATCGAACCATGCAAGACAAGTGCGCTAACCATTACGCTACAGATGTTACTGAACAATTGAGATAAAAACAGCTGATCTTTGCTTATAATTGGGGGCAAGCATTTTCTTTGGAGACTAAATCAGTGAACACTTTAGACTTGGGTGTAGGAAAGCCTCAGCACTTTGGTTATAAATGCAGTCTTGTTCATTGTTCTGAAATTTGCAGGGGAACAGTAGCCTCGAGACTAATGTTTTCAGTCCAGATGTTCTCTCCAGCATTTACAGATGTCAGTGTCAAAAGGTTTTTTTATATAAAAAGAGTCTATTTGGATTTTATTGTGGAAGAGAATGCAGGATTGAGTTATCTCATAATTTCCCTTTGTTTCAATCATAAACAGTACCCAGATCAAGACAGAATTTCATTGGAATGACCATTACACTTGTCTTCCCCCAAGCATTTGTGCATCGGCCTAACACAATAATCTTTGCATTTGATACAATGGCTTATCTGAGATTCTGACAGCACTTCAAATATATTATAAGCTGTAGTTTGCAGGTAACCAAAAACAATAATAAATTGGTCATTTTCAATCTACAACTGTTTGTGGGACATTGCTGTGTGCAATTGGCTGCCGCGTTCGCCCACAAATATACAGTCAATTCACTTTACAGTGTGTTCTGTGCAGCGTTTTGGGACGTCTTCCAGACGTGAAAAGCGCTATATCAAATGCAAGGATTATTATTATTATTAAACTGAACTATCAGCTCAGGTTGACTGGAGTGTTGGGAGTGGTCGTGAGTTCATGTCTTCACGTGAATGGAGCTGGAACCCATAACTTTCTGATCCTCAGATAAGATAAACTGACACACCCACCCACACCAAGATTATTTAACCCTCATGCAGAATTGTATTTTCGGTGGGGGGAGGGGTTGTATTTGGATGGGAGTATAGAAAACTGCAACAGGGTCTTTATTGTAGTAAATTATCACAACCAAATGATTTTAAATATAGAAGTAATTTTATTCGTACACGAATAATAACCAACACTTAAACCGAAATAAATATCCAAAACAAAAAAAGATTCACTTGTTTCTTGGACTCATCTGAAAAGCTAAATTTAGCTTTGTGTCTTGGTATCAACCTCGTCCGAAAAATATATATCAAGACATCAAGTAAACATGAACTGCCCAGGCCTATTCGGCACTGAAATAACCATTGATATTGCACATTAAAAAAAAACACACAAATATCTACTCTCCAGTGTGGTGAGACAATTCCAATAAACAGACAAAAAAAGCAACAATGTGGCAAAGAACATGAGTCAACAGAACTGTGTTTGACGAACACTGATGTAAGTTAACAACCATCACTTCGTGAAACAAACAGCTGATGTGTCTGCTTTCAACTCATAGGATGTTGACATTTTAGACAGTTTAAAACCAGGCTCTGGAGGACTCACCAGAACGCTACAGGATTCAGTTTAGTTGCAGATTAAAATGTTGTCCTTATCTTCATTTAATTTTAATAAACTTTTTTTAAGGGAGATTTGACAAAGGGTCGTGTTGTGCAATACTGCAATAGATAACTTCTGAGTTCAGAGGTTACACAGAGCACCAGCGCCTACATAAACACACAGACTGGCACGGGTTAAGCGCGTTTGGACAATTAGCGACGCATACACGATTTTCTCTGTGAGGATCTCGTAAAAGGAAAAAAAAGTTAAAAAAGGGTCTCCCTATAAAACCACACCTCCCCACAAACTTTGTTGTGTGCTTGAAGCTTAAGCAACTGTTACAAGTGGGAATAATCTATTTGTGGTTTAACAGGTTCATTCAATTGCCCCTTAACTGGGAGATAAAGGTATCATTCTCACTCACACAACACATACATGCACACAACATGAACACTTTCTCACTGCTTTTCTTTCTCTCAAACTCTACTGATCATCAACCATTCATTTCCACCTGCAATATATTTCTACTATAACCCACCTCTCTTCCTGACTGTTACTGCGGTGACTGCCCCTATTTTAAGCTATGACTCACTCGCAGGACACATTGCAACTCCCATAAACAATGTATTGCACTTTACCGATCAACATTTTTTTTGAGGGGTTTGCCTCAACTCCAACTTTTGACAAACTATTGCTTACGTTAACGCTTTTAAAAAAAATGAAAACAAAACCCAATTTGCATTAATTATAAAGGAAAGCAGAGTGCAAACGTTATCGAATAAAATGGGCATGGACTTTGTAGGAGGTGTAGACAATGCTGCCTGTAAACATGAACAAGTTGACTATTAAAAAAAATTATGTTTAAAAAATGATCTGTTCATATTATACAATATCGCGTGTGTCACAATGTGGTTTGACTAAAACAATGAGGTAGGTGGATGCAAATGACAAGTACTGTGGACGCACAGAGAGAAAGACGGAAGTTGGCAAAGTTTGCAAGTCGTTTCTCCCCTCCTTCCATTTATCAGTTTGCATTCCTTCCGTCTCTGCTTTTATCCGTTTCCTTTCCTTCGGTTTCTCTTCTTCAAAGAGAGAGAGATGGCGAGAAGAAACTTGGGCAAAGTTCACAAGTGGTCTCTCTCTTTCCCTTTATCAGTTTGCATTCTCTCTCTCTCTCTTTATCCATTTGCTCTCTCCTTTTCTTCTGTTTGTTTCTCTCTTTTGCTTTTAATATTAAATAACAGAATCGAGGAGCCGCCGGTGGTTCGCATTGTGCTCGGGGCTGTCTCCGGGGCTGTGTGTGACTGAGCCGCCGAGCAGAGCACAGCCGTTGTGTTGTGATGAGCGCTCGTCCGCCTGTCCGCCGGTGCAGTCGCTGGGGAGGCCGCCCGCGGGGCCGCCTGGAGCGGGGTGGGAAGCACAGGCGGCGGCTCCGTGTGAATCCCGACAACCCCACAGCAGAGACTGAAAAGCCCGTCTGAAATCCGAGCTGCGACAGTAGATAAGCGGATTGAAAGCCGAGTTGGAGTAACCCACCCAGTTGAGAAACACGAAGACGGGTTTGGACACGCTGTCCTGGGAGATGACATTTACCACATTAACGATGAAGAAAGGCAGCCAACAGAGGGTGAAGGTGCCCATGATAATCCCCAACGTCTTGAGGGCTTTGTGCTCCTTCAGGTTCAAGAAGCGGGAAGTCCTCTTTGGCGCCTGTTTGACAGCGCCTCCTTTGCCATTGGAGTTGGCGAGAGGCGCCGAGCCTTGGTCTCCCGCTGGCCCGTGAAACCTCCCCTCACACCGGCTGATCTTCTTCAGCTGTTGCCGAGCCTCCTGGAAGACTCTCCCGTACACGAAGACCATGACCACTAACGGCAGGTAGAAGGAGACGATGGACGAAGCGATGGCGAACTCGCGGTTGGTGAGGAACTCGCAACACTTGGGGTCGGCGTAACATCGCAGCGACTCTGTATCGCTCAGGCGCCACCAGCGCATGTAGATGGGCAAGAAGGAGGTCAGCCCCGCCACCATCCACACCAACAACACAACCAGCCTGGCCTTGCACTTGGTCAACAGGCTCTGGTAGCGGAAGGGAGAGGTGATGGCGAGATAGCGATCCAGAGCGATCACACAGAGGGTCTCGATGCTGGCGGTCACACACAACACGTCCAGCGACGTCCAGAAGTCACACCAGAAGTTGTGGAAATGCCATTCGTCCGTGACGATCCGCACCGCCCCGAAGGGCACCACGATCAGCCCCATCACCAAGTCGGCGCAGGCCAGAGAGGTGATGAAGTAGTTGGTGACTGTCTGCAGCCGCTGGAAGCGGGCGATCGCCACGATGACCAGCACGTTACCGAAGACAATGGCCACAACGATAAGGGACATGACGAGACTGACCACGATCTTCAAATCTGGGCTTAAACCGTCATTAGAAGAGGAGGAGGTGATGTTGATGCTATTGGTTGCACTCTGAGTAGCGTTGAAGTAGAAACCCTCAGTTGTCGGTTGCACATCAGCGTTTGTAACCTGCGATCCCATTTTCCACAGGTGTTATTTCTCCTTATATTTCTCTAAAGTATTCGCAAAAAAATCGATTATTTAATTAAAAAGAAAAAAACATTTTTAAAGAAGTTGCAGTATCCGGCCGAACGCCCCACCAGCCTCTCGCTCTCTCTCTCTCGCACATAGCACTTCTCTCTGGTGACGGAAGTTATTATGAAAATGCGTTTTTTTTCGCTTATTTATAAGAGCGAATAAGGAACGTCAGGTCGGCTCCTGACCAATCGCAGTGTACCGCTGTCCGCTTCAAAACACTCAACACATCATTGTGTGTGTTATTACATCCGCTTTACCTGGTAAAAAAAATTGCTAATAAGCCAACCTTCAAAAACTGGCAAATATTTTTCTTTTTTTTCCTATTATTATTATATTGCAAAAGATTGATTGCTCAGAGGAGGAATTCGAGTCGACTGTTGCAATTCAAGCACAGAATATGAGCTGCCTTATTTCAGTTTTAAGGATTCAGTCACAAAGTGAAACACATACCTGTGCTTTTTGATCAGATTTTTTTGTTTGATTTTGTAAATCTACATTATCGCTTCCTCCAACCTGTGACATTGGTGCTTAGAGATTTTTTCTGACAGCGTCTGTGTGAGAGAGAGAAAGACAGAGGGCGAGAGAGACAGAAAACAGGAACTACTGGATATATGTCAAAGGGCGATGAAGTCAGATGTTTAGAAAGATATACAGTGACCGACACGCCGTATACTGTACCGGCCTCTAAGGTTTGTTCTGAATTCCGATGTAAAACGAGACAGCCTGGCGTTACTTTCACTCGCTGCCCGAATATCAGTCGATTGAAACCGCGTCCCCCTTTATACGGCATTTCGCAATACAAAGGTCCTGTTCCAAAAGATTTCCCACGTTGGATTAACAATACCAGTGTGTGTGTGTGTGAGAGAGAGAGAGTGTGAGTATGAGAGTGTGTGTATGAAAGAGCGTGTATCTGAGCGTGTGTGCGACACAGGGTACGTGGAACAGAATGTGTGCGTGTGAGAGAGAATGTGTGTGTGACAGAAAGAGTATTAGAGAGTATTGTGAGAGGGAGAGAGAGAGAGACGGAGAGTGTGTGAGAGAACGCGAGAGTGTTGAGAGAGTGTATGAGAGGGAGCGAGTGCACAGACTCAAAACACAGCACAGACACTATTGGCCGCTTTATCACTGAAGGGTCACATTTCACAACCGATGATCCACGCCCTGGTCAGTCAGCTGTGAAGCCACGTAGACAGGCAGACAGGCAGTGTCATTGGGATATGCATTCACCAAAGCACCGCCGCTGGTCACTTACTGTTACCCTGAGTGTGGTGAACATTTCAAATCTAGTTTCCACCAGTAACCAATTCATGCCATGAACGAGGTTGGTGGAAGTCCACTTAAATCGCTGTATCACCGGGAAGCACTGTTTGGGGCCCTGGGCAGTGGTACGGGAGGAGGTGAATGGGCAGGTGTAACATCTGCGGTGGCCCGGGACGGGGCAGGAGAGCAGGTGTTAGTGGTGATGGAGGAGTAAACCAGGGAGTCATCCCAGAACCATTATAGGGTCATCCCAGTCCTCACCTTCCACACTGTTGCATATTGTTTAAGGCTAAATTGGCAAATGGACATTGACCAATGAGAAGCAGGAAACACGGGTTGGCGAGGACAAGTTTACAGGGCTATGGGGAGAGCGATTGATTTGGATAACTCTTTTAAGAAAGCGGACACAGACATAATCCTGCGCTGCATAATTCTATGATTCTGGGAAAGGGACTGGGCAGAGTCTTGAAGTATACAGTTGAAATAAAGGAGCTATTGAATATAAACTGTAGTGGATTAACAAACATTACATAGTGTTTAAAGTGAAAATGGAACCTGCGGTGAAATAGACTACGAGATTGAATACGGATTGAAAAGCAAAATGCAGAGAGAAGCAGAAGTGAATGCTGTATGTGCAGATACCAAGACAACTGAAGTTGGTTGGAAGTTTACGGCACAATTGGCAACGGTTTGAAAGAGACTTTAAATTTTTCAGATTAGCATCAAATATAATGAAACTGCCACAGAGACGGCACATCTGCGATCTTTTTGAATGTGGCAGATGAGGAAGCAAGGGAAGATTTTGCAACCCTAGAGAGGACCAAGGTGGACATGCCAGTGGAGGAGATGATGATTATTATAAAGGAAAGATGCTGTGGGGAAAATAACATAACAATTGACCAAATTAAATTTGGAACAAGAAAGCAAGGACCCACAGAATAATTCAATCAGTACTGTGCGGTACTGAGATCCCGAAGCAAAAGTTGCAATTATGGAACATTAAAAGTAGAGCAAGAAAAGTAGTATTTTGGCCGGGTATATATAAATAAATCACAAGTGAATAAATCACAAGTAAACAATCGTAAGTAAAGATATCGAGCTCTACAGAGGAAAGTGTGAGACATACGTGAGACATCAAAACAGAGAAAGGCATGAACCTTTAATGGGGCATCAGAGACCAAACAGAGCATGGACAACAATAGGAACAGATTTGTTCTGTTATAATGGGAAAAATTATTTACTAATAACAGACTATACCTTGAGATATAGTGAATATGCAGAATTAAATGATACTACTGCAGAAACAGTAATAGACAAGACTAAAGAAATATTAGCCAGGTATGGAATACCAAGGGATCAATAAGTGATAATAGGCCACAATTTGCCAGTGCTGAATATAAAAAAATCACGAAACAGTGGAGCATAGACCACAGAACATCGTCACCAGGATATCCACAAAGCAATGGGATGATGGAAAGAATTAACAGACAAAAAAGAAAATGTGGAAGAAAGCAGAGGACTCAAAAGAAGATAAACATTTGGCGTTGCTAGCCTGCAGAAATATATTGATAGATGACCAGGGACAATTACTGGCATAGGTGTTGATATTCAGAAGATTAAGAGATGGGTTAATATGGGAGGAAAGAAAATCAAGACCACAGGTACAGAGAAAAAGAAATTGGAAGAAACAAGAGCAAGAGTCACAGAAGGAAAAAACTTTCAAAAAAAGAGAAGTCGTATGGTTTCAGAGGAAAAACTTAAAAACAAAACGATGAAGGGAAAAGTTTGAGGGAAAGACAAGAACCCCAGATCACACTGGGCAAAGGATGAAAAAGGAAAGATTTGTAGACGAATCTCATGGGAGATCAAACAAAGAAAAATAAAGAAAATACCTGAAGAATAGGAAAAGCAGAAGGAAGATCAAGGTGCGGAAGAGAAATAAAAAGACCACATAGAATCATAGAATCGTACAGCACAAAAAGAGGCCATTCGGCCCATCGAGTCTGTGCAGGCTCTTTGAAAAGAGCAATGTAATGTCAATCCCACTCCCCAGCCCTTTCCCCATAACCCTGCAGACCCGTCCTCCTCAAATACCCGTCCACCACGTTTTTAAAAGTAGTTATCGAATCGGCCTCGACCACCCTTTCAGGCAATGTGTTCCAGATTCGAACAATTCTCTGCATGAAAACATTTCTTCTCACCTCCCCTCTGCTTCTTTTAGAGACTATTTTGAATCTGTGACCTCAAGTCACCGACACACAGTGGAAACAGTTTTTCCCTTTCTAACCTATCAAATCCCCTCATGATTTTGAAGACCTCTATTAGGTCTCCTCGTAACCTTCTCTGCTCCAATGAGAATAATCGTCACCTCACTTGCCTTTCCTCATAATCAAGGTCCCTCATTCCTGGTACCATCCTCGTAAATCTCCTCTGCACCCTTTCCAATGCCTTAACATCCTTCCTATAGTGTGGTGCCCAGAACTGGGCACAGTATTCTAACTGAGGCCTAACCAGTGTTTTATATAGGTTAATCATAACCTCCTGACTCTTGTACTCTATGCCCCTATTTATAAAGCCTCGTATCCCATATGCCCTTTTTACAGCTATATCTACCTGTCCTGCCACCTTCAAGGATTCATTTACCTGCACCCCCAGATCTCTGTTCTTTCACCCCCCTTAAGATTGTATTACCAGCCTATATTGCCTCCCCTCATTCTTTCTACCAAAATGCATTACCTCACATTTCTCCACATTGAAATTCAATGATAAAACAAGATTGAAAAAAAGAAAAGAAATTAAAAGGAAGATGTTGCATATTGCTTTAAGGCTAAATTGGCAATTGGACATTGACCAATGAGAAGCAAGCAGCAAGCATAAAATGATTCTGGGAAAGCGACTGGGTACAGTGTTGAAGTGTATGTTGAAATAAAGGAGCTATTAAATCTAAACTGTGTTGTGGATTGACAAATAATACACACCCCACCAGCCTCCACCTTCAATGAATAATCCTTTGCCATTTCCCCCACCTCCAGTGCGATCCCACCACCAAACACAGTTTTTATCCCCTCCCCTCTCAGCATTACGAAGGGACCGCTCCCTCTATGACTCCCTGGCGTACTCCTCCATCACCACTAGCACCTGCTCTCTTTCCCCGGCACCTTCCCATGCCAACATATACAACGTATTTGCTGCTCATGGCATGGTCTCTACATTTGGGGAGACCAAACGCAGATTGGGTGATCACTTTACCGAACATCTCTGTTCCATCTTCAAGTGCAACCCTGAGCTTCCAGTCGCTTGCCATTTTAATTCCCTTTCCCACTCCCACTCTGACCTCTCTGTCCATGGCCTCCTACTCTGTTCAAACGAAGCACAACGCAAACTTGAGGAACAGCACCTCATCTACCTCCTAGGCACCTTACAGCCCTCTGTCCCCAATATTGATTTTAACCACTTCAGACCTTAAACACAGTTCCCATCTTTTCTCAGCCTTGCCTCCCCTCTCCCCCTCTTCCATAACATATCCTCTGGGTCTCAGACTCATCGTTTCTTTCTATAATCTCCCACTATTGCCTTCTTTACCTTGCACTATCAACATCTCTGTTCTCATCATCTCCTGTCCTCCATTTACATTTTTTTCTTTCTCTGCCTCCTTCTCTGCTTCTCCTTATAATCTGTTCCCATCCAACCTCAACCAGTTCTGACGAAAGGTCATTGACCTGAAATGTTAACTCACTTTCCTCTCTCCATAGATGCTGCATGACCTGCTGCGTGTTCCCAGCGACTTCTGTTTTTATTGCATCAACATATTGTTTATTATATGTTAACATAAATAATATTGTTTTTTTAATTTTGGATAACGTCAAATGTCTCAAAGTACTTCACATGTAATTGTCAAGTGTAGTGACTGAACACAACAATAAACAAATGCCATATATAAACAGTTACTACAATCACAGGACCAAAACTGAGATTTTGGGGACAACTCCAGATTATTCACTCACTTTTTGTGTCTACAATCCTGTTCTATACACACACTCACTCAGCCTTTCCGCTCCATCAATCAAAATCATGTCAGTTCTGGTACCTAGGCCCAGGAGCATTACTTGTTCACATAAACATAAAGAGATAGATTGTTGAAATGGAATGTCTACTCTCTCCCTGGAGGGACGATTCCTGATTACCTAATCCCGGAAAGTATTAGGTGCAGGTTGGCAAGAGCCAAGGCTTGGGTACCCCAGAGTGAATGTTCGGATACTGCTGGTATCTAACCAGCTAAATCCGCATAGCTTGCCATTGACATTGCTTCCCCATTGCTTGTCCAGCTGGGACCGCCCTACCCATTAGGCCTTTAGCTCGGGTACAAAAAACCCTGACTATCCAGTGCCCCTGGGATGGCTTTCCGACATAAAGGGCACTATACAAGTGTATTTGTTATTATTACAGGGTTACCGGAATCTGAGGGGGATGACTCCCTGCCCCCAGGTGACTGGTCTGCCCTTCCAGGTCCTCCTGATGAGGCCGGCTGGTTGAGCTGTTATCAGCAGTGCCCTAGAATACTGCAGACCCATCTGGCTCAGGAACCGGACTCCCGAGACCGCCACTGATAGTTGGCTCGATTCCAACATTCAGCCACTTCAGTTCAAAGGAGTCCCTGCTTACCTAACTCCAAGGAGGAAAATGGCTATAGTGAATTTCTGAACTGAGCTCAAAGAAACATATATAAAGATACAAGGAC